TATATAGGTATAATATATATATATATATATATACGCTCCCCGTGAAATGAGAGTCAAGAGTAGCGGAGAGTCAGCAGTGCGAGAGAAGGGCGGATGAGATGAGAAAAAAAAAAAAAGTGTATCGAGTACAGATGAAGGAGGAGCTGGGTGTAGGGCCGCTTTCCGCGGGTATATCGGGGAAAAAGAAGAAGAAGGAGAAAAGCAATAGAGAAAGAGAGGAGAAAGGCTCGTTAGCGCGATTCGGCTTGGCAACGCACGCGACTCACCGCGGGGGGGGGGAAGGGCGAGAGACGACGGAAAGAATAAAGGCTCTCTCGCGCGCGGGCTCTTATCGATCGTGTACCTTATACCTATACCCGCTCTCGTTTGATGCACTGCAGCGGTGCAATTTTTACTTGTTCTCGTCACGGGGATGGAGATGTTTTTTCTTTCTTTCTTTTTTCACGCGAAGGGAAGAAAAAAAAAAAAAAAGGAAAAACTTTTTTTGCTTGTTTGTTGTTTTTACAAAAGACGGCAAGTTTCACCTGCTGCCGACGGGTGAGCTGTTGGTGCACAGTCTCGAGTTCAGCGACCAGGTGCCGGGGTACAGGTGCCGCACGATGCATCGGCTGACGCGCCAGGTTGTCGTCAGTTCGGTGGCCAACGTGAGGATAGCCGATCATCGGGGTATCGTGCCCCCGGTCATACTCGACCACTCGGACAACGTTTACGTGGCGCAGGACGAGTCGACCTCCCTCATTTGCATCGCCCAGGCGTGCCCCACTCCCGAGTACAGGTGCGTCTTGACGTAATGGGCATTGTCGTGACGTTGCATGTAAAACGTATAAATTATATTAATTTTTTTTTTTTTTTTTCATCGCTATAAAAACCGATATTTTTCCGAGTTGAAAGGGAATTTTATAACTAGNTTTTTTTTTTTTTTTTTTTTTTTTTTTTTTTTTTTTTTTTTTTTCAGTATATAGAAAAAGTCGTTGAACGAGCGTGAATGTGTCCGGTATTTAGTTTTTTCCTCTTTTTCAATTCCATTTTTAATAATACTCTAGATCAATAGCGCAAAAGCCCGAGCTCATCCAATTTGACTTTTCAAAGACTTATTGCCTTTGAATTCACGCGTCGATTTTTTTTTCACCCCGAATATGTGCATACTATACAATTAAATAGAATTTTCAAGGTGAACGCACTGCAATTTTTAGTTTTTACTTACGAATTGTCAATAAAAAAAAATTGTTTGTGGTTGGGATGGATTTTATGGTGGTGTGTTTCATGATTCAAACAGTTTCATTTAAGGGAAACTATTAAATTATACAAGTCTATGTACTAATATGGTTAAAGAAGTAAAAAAAAAAAGGAAAAAAAAAAAAAAAAAACAACGCAACAACAACCGAGAGGTGAGCTTTTTCCAGGTGGTACGCGCAAACGGGCGCCGAGCCGATGTTAGTGCTGCCAGGACCGAGGACGAGGCTTTTGGGCCCCGTACTGGCCATCGAAGCCGTCACGCTCGAGGACAGCGGTGTTTACCGATGCACCGCCTCTTCAAACGCCGGTGGCGAAGCTAGTGCCGAGCTCAGGTAACAAAAACAACAATTTATCGATTCGACGACCTGTACAGACACCTCGTGTGATTTTCGCGTCGGCGATTGTCGGAAACAAAAAATAAAAATTTCAACTCGATAGTGTACAATCTACCATACGGAAGAGGAAGAGCCGAATTTTACAGATAAAAAAAAAAAAAAAAAAAGAATGAAAGCTGTCAAATGCTGCTGCCGCTGTATCTTTCCACACGCGGACGCAGACGCGATTTTTCGAGAGGCAGATACAGCACCAGAGACAGTATGGCACACGAGCAATCGGCATATATATTAATCGCGCGAAACGCCAACAGCAGAGAGAGAGAGAGAGCTTTGGCTGTGTACCTATATATTGACGTACGATGGGGTTGGGGGTTGAACGTTGCAGGCTCGTGGTGACGGTGCCGTTGCACGTCGAGGTGACGCCCGCCCTGTCGAGCGTCCACTTGGGAGGTAGCGCCGAGTTTCGCTGCGAGATAAGCTCGCATCCGCAGGCGGGTCCGCACTTTGTCACCTGGTACAAGGATGGCCGACAGTTGCCGGGCACGGGCAGACAATCCGAACTCCTGAGGATCAACAGCATCGGCCGGGAGGACCGGGGCATGTACCAATGCATCGTCAGACGCTCCGAGGGCGACACGGCACAAGCCTCCGCCGAACTCCAGCTCGGTGGTACGTACATATATATCTATCAGCGCAAGCCTATAATACACCGTCATCGACTGCAGCAGCTCTGGTCCCTCCGACAATCAACAATATACCATGATGATGGAAAAAAAAAAACAAAAACAAAAAAAAAATCATCAATAATTCAAAGCAATGGTAGGTGAAGAGCAAACTCGGATCAATAAGGAGGAACGGCGCGCAAACGAGCGGAGCTAGGTATTCCGAGGGACGGGAAGAGCTGCAGCAAACGAGGATGATTCGGCATTGTTATACTTCTCGAGACTTGTATTATAAATATTCTGTTGGTCTTTGGTCTCAGACGCGCCGCCGGTGCTCCTGTACTCTTTCATCGAGCAGACCTTACAGCCCGGCCCGGCCGTGTCGCTCAAGTGCTCGGCCGCGGGGAACCCCACCCCCCAGATCTCGTGGGCGCTCGATGGCTTCCCGCTGCCCGCCCACGGAAGGTAAGGAAAAAAAAAACCCCTTTTCGATATTTCACCCCATCCTCCAACTCTTTACATGTATAGAGCGCCCTTTGCTCGCCGGCAGCGCAAAAAGTTGGAGGAAAACTTTCTGCACGCGGCTCCGCGGTCTTTCTTTTGTGTATTAGCCACCTCCTACACGAGTGCTATATGTATATATACTTACGCTCGGCGTAATACGTTTCCAAGGAAATATAATGGACTTTGGCCGCTCCTGCCGGGAGGGAAAAAGGAGAAATGTTTCTTTCTTTTTTCATTTTTTGCCAAAAGTTTCGCCAACTAAAAATAACGTTGTATACTTGGGCTGCAGGGTATATACGCGAGCGCAAAAAAAAAAAAAAAAAATGGAAATAACGACAATGATAACAACAAAGTGTACGACGATCGTTGGCATTCATTAGTCGTACAATTGCCGGGAGTACAATACAGCGCTGGGGAGAGGGAGAGTTGCGAATTTTCAGCAAAAGTTGGAAACTATACACCACCGCGATGTTGCGCGGGTGAGGGAGAAAGGGAGGGGTAAATTAAATGGGGGCGGAGGACGAGTGTACGCGCGGGGCAGATGTGAAAAGATAAAAGGCTGGAGCGAGAGACGGAGAGACAGATACAGATGATAACAAATGTCGAGTGGGAGGGAGCGAGCTGCAGTGCAGCGCCCCGCTCGGGAAAATTAAATTTTTTTTACGCTCTTTGAAGCACCGGACTCGTAAAAGGGGGCGGAGAGCTAGGGGTGGGGTGGGGGGGTGTTTTAAAAAGGCCGATAAAATATGAAAAAGCACACAGGCAGGCGGCAACGCGCCTGTGTATATATAGTAGCAGCCCAGGCAGGGTCAAATGGAAAAGTTCACTAAACTCGCCGAATGTAGGTAACTCCCCGGCTATTTGCTCGGCGCAGGAGAGGATACGGAAGAGCATGCAGTATATAGGTATAAACATACGCATACACTGTAGGAGAGAGATTTGACGAATGGCTTATTCATTAAAAGTTGAGTGCTCCGATGGGGAGGGGGAGTGTGGAACAACGATGATTTGGCAGGCGGGGCTGTGGAACTTGTTTTTTATTTTTTTTTATTTCTTAATAAAGATAAGGCCATTGCGTATGGCGTACGGCACAGTGACAGTCGATGTAGCATAGGAGCAGTGTAGCTTGGGGCCGTGCCAGGAGCACTTGTACGGGGGATACATAACACAGTGGAGCTGCATGCAAGCAATAAAAGCCTTATATGTCACCGGCAGCTGCAGTAACATTCCTACATGCGCCTGACCCTCTCCCCTGTACATATCTATACGTATCATCCACCCTATACTATGTTGTATGTGTGTGTTCAAGGTTCGTGGTGGGCCAGTACGTGACGGTCCACGGGGACGTGATATCGCACGTGAACATCACCCATGTGGTCGTCGAGGACGGAGGCGAGTACTCGTGCACCGCGGAATCACGCGCCGGAAAGGTGACGCACGCCGCCCGGCTCAACGTCTACGGTAAGAAGAAGAAAAAGAAAAACACACGTCCACCACCACCCCCATACATACGTGTGTGTCTATATACCTGAACGTGTAGGCGCTTTACCGGTATACACACATCCACTCTCGTCGCTGCAACACGGCGTGCCACCCCGTCGACCTCTTTACCACCCCCCTGCTGCTTCTCTCGACGCTTTTCTCTTGGCTCTTTTATTCATGCCCGTACCACCGCTCACCCTCCCTCCCATTCCCGGAAAATACGCTTCTCCTCTTGCTAAAACTCACTGCCCATCTAATGAAGAAATAAAGCTCCCGGGTTCCAACGTATTGATTCCGAGGCTATGTACGTTTGGATGCTGTAGCTCCTTTTTTTCTTTTTTTTTTTTTTTTTTTTTTTTTTTTTTTTTTTTTTTTTTTTTTTTTTTTTTTTTT